AATAGTTTTGGGATAAAGGACCACACGTGAGTCCCAAAATCACGGTACGAGTTCTTTGTTATTTGGTATATGCATCCTCCGCAGCAGGCGCTTGGAAGTAATGAAGGCAAGAATATTACTTCCAAGAGCCTGGTACGCAGGCTACAGAACACGCAAAACGTAGCGCAATTAGAATGACGCACCATGTGTATTTTGATTTTAAATTAAGTTATTATAATACCGCAGGCCATTTCTGCTAAAAATCATCCTGACACGAAAATCGAGATTGTAACGCCTATATAGCTACAGGACACCCAAGGAATCACGGAACACCCAATGATTAGTGTCCTGCTCGCCTGGAGGAGCGCAGCAATATGAATAGTATGAATAGTTTAGCAGAAAAAGTTCGTGGAGAGGCTATTTTATATAGGTGGCTCTGCCACTGGAACAATCTTCACTTACAGAGGGTGGCCTCCAAAATAGACTTGTAGTTTAATAAAAGTCAGACCAAGTCCAGCAGGTGTCTATTTTAAAGGACAGTTGTAAATACAAAGATATAATCCTTTAGCTCTCTTGACATTCATGTCATGCTGTGGAATATTTAAACAAAATACTGTATTAAAACAAAACATCCGATGAATGAATGAATGATAACTTTATTTAAACACGGTTAAGGTGGCCCGTTCCTCTTTATATGCGAGTTAGTTGTGTTTTTGATTCGCGTTATTCAGAATGAAAGATTCAACCGATTTCTACGATTTTTTGCATCCTTAATAAATAATGATGCAACTTTAAGAAAATGTTATTTATTTTCTTATAGGTATAAAAACTTTTGAGATATTGGCATATATTTAAAAACTGTAAAAATGCTTTTTACTTTTATTGAAGCTTTAGGGTGCTGTCTAAAAAGGGATTGAAGTCGTTTATTCGGAGTCTCGAGAGATCAAAATACGGACGTTCAAACTTCCGTTAGCACTGGCATCTTTAGCCTACACAAAATGTTGGTCAAATTTAATGCTAAAATGATAGGCTAACTTATTGGGGATAATAGTTATTATTTACATAGGGAAATCTATTTACTAAATAATAACTATTATCCCCAAGTGGCATACTGCTCGTGAGCATGTGATAGGAAAGTCAGAGATCTTGAATATATAATCGTGCGAGAGGGTTTTCATTGCAGTTGAAAATTGGATGGCCAGGTGTTCTTGAACTAGCGGGCTTATTTCGCCTCAGAGCGAGAACCTTTGAGGCTAAAAACTGCCAAGCGGTTTCTCCAGATGCTGTGTTTTGTTTTCTTAATATTTTTGTCGAAAATGAACGGACAAATGCAGAGTAAGTTGGATAAATATAATATTTTTAATTTCAACGCGCATGTAGCAGAAAGTTGGTTGCATTAAATCGCTAACTTTGTTCGCCGTAGTTGTCCGATTACTCATTTTCTTCCAACAATGCTTTGGGTAAGAACAACGTTTCAGTTAAGAAGTGGTTTGTCAGCTCTCTTCCGCTATTTGTGCGTTTACGTTCACAAATGTGTTAGCCTATCATTTTAGCATTAAATTTGACCAATATTTTGTGGAGCGATTTCTACGGTCTCGATTGCCTTCAAACTTGCAGACATAAAACTAGCGAGCTCTGAGGCTTATTTGCTGAAGTTAGGGAAAAATTTGTCGTGGGATTTCGAAGTTATTTTCATTTTTCGTAAAAATAAGGTTTTAAATATATGACGATATCTCAAAAGTTTTTATACCTATAAAAAAATAAATAACATTTTCTTAAAGTTCCCTCATTATTTATTAAGGATGCAAAAAATCGTAGAAATCGGTTGAATCTTTCATTCTGAAAAACGCGAATCAAAAACATAACCAAAACGCATATAAATAGGAACGGGCCACCTTAAAAACATCAGTCTAACAGAAAATTAATTAAAAATTCTCAAAAACTGTTTTACATATTTGCCGTGTGGGAGTACTTATCTCGTGGTATACGAGTCAAGCGTATTTTCCCGGCATACAGACGAGCCTTTAGGTGAGTGTGTATACCAAGAAAATACAAGTGACAAGTCGCATATTCCATGGTATACAACTCGAAAGCCTTGCATAACTATTTAATACTATGCCATAGAACTTAATACAGTTGGCAGCACAATAAATTCGACATACGCGCAAACATCATTACGAATGGCTTTGAACTGGCTTCCTTTTGTCAAAGATGATGACCTTTTTAAAACTCCCTTACTAACTAGTTATAGTTGACACTACAGCTGCCCCCGTTCTTTATATTGTCGTTCTCAAACTCATTAATAATTCATTAAGAAAATACAAAGGAAATTAATGTTTAATGAGTGTTTGGAAATCGGATGAAACACTGCTTAGTATTTGCATCCTTAATTTCTCCTTCAAAAATGATTTTGTTTGAGAAGAAATATCAAACATTCGACACAGTGTTTCATCACCAGATGAAACACCTCGAAGTTCGTCAAAAATACTCCGCTGCGCGTCGTATTTTCAACTCTCTTCTCGGTGTTTCATCTGGTGATGAAACACTGCATCTCATGTTTGATATATTACGTCAATAGTATTCTTGCTGGTTGTGTAGCTCTTTGAAATATACCGATTCATAATGACGTTTTTCACACATATTCCATACAATAGGTGAGATAAATACAGGAAACGCAAGGTGCCATGCACAGTTTCAGCTCGATTTACACAGCTTTGATCAAAACATTATCAGTTTCGAGAATAGTTTATTCTAAACCATAAGAAAAGATTTAATTAGAAGTTGAATTTTTCGCTTTTTCTCTTTCCCTTTTTACATTCAGTTCATTTGATTTGCCGGAAAGTAAGCCTTAGAAATTAAAAGGACGTTTGATCGATTCACGCTCGCGCATTCTAGTCTTATTTTAAACTTCATAGCGGCAGGACATCTGTGAGCAGGGAATAAGTCAGCACAGAATTTGATTGTCGGCGAATTTCTGTAATCGTCCATCGTTTTGCTGGTGATAAGCTAGCCGTTGATCCACTCGTCTTGCTTGTTTTGGGCTGAGTCTTATTCCGGTCAAAGAGAGTGAAAGAGTGTCTGGCAAGGTTTCCAATCAAAGATTTGTGAACTCATGTCATTTCAAACTCTCCAAGTGTTTATAGTATACATGTATATACACAGTTATACGCACCTTATAACTTCATCTGCGCTTAACGAGTGTCTTTTTGTCCATAACTTTCAAAACAACTGCTCCACAGAATGTCACTGATAACACATAACGCAAAAGACTATCGAAGTATGACTGTAAAATAAATGTCATAAAATCTACCTATCGTAAGCGGTCCCTTCGGGATTTTCTGTCTTTACGTCATCCTAACCATCTCGTACTTGCGGGCGCCAACAATAGAAACGTCATCATTACCTACCGATTCCTTGCGGCCCCTGTTCAAGCGAATCGAGATTTTTTCCGGCATACTGACTGTATATTTCAACTGTAAGTGATTTCCTTAATATACGCGCGAGTTACTAGATTGCCTCGTCGGGATTTCGCCCAGAAGGCGAAATCCCTGCGGGGGCAATTACTTTAGTCAAACGCTTGCAAAATTCATAAGCTCACTGAGGATAAAACTCTTCGACGGAGGAAAAGAACAGAAGATTTAAAAACGCTCCCAAAATGTTAGTTGATTGAATTCATGAAAGAAAATACAAAGAATGTAAGTCAAAAAGTTAACGTCATTAACATAAAGGATTGCAAAACTTGGACAGCGTTTTAAATACTAAAACTGAGACGAAAAAACCTGAGCGAGGTGGCTCCTGAATGAACTTGACAAACTTACTAACATCCTAATTTTTTTCTTTACTGTTCTTGAGTTTCTTTGTTCTTCAACGAAAATACCAACTTCTTGATTCGTCAGCTGTGTTTTGTCGCTTAACTTTTCATTTACTGCTGAGTTTTCGGCCTCAAAATTAACGCAAAAGGAAAAATTTGACTCATCACACAATACTTGAAAAAAAAAAATTACGGCAGGAATAAGATTGCAGCGCACGATAGGGAGATTGGGTGTAATACCGTCGATTATTATTCATTCAAAATATTTCTCCGATTCTGATTGGCTAAAAGCACACGCATAATTCACCATAACCAGTTACTGAAGACCAAATTTGGAAGAATTTTGTGTTTAACGAGGAAATTGCGTCAAAAATGCAGCGTTCTTGCAGGTTAAGGCACCGTTAACCGAGAAGACCTGGGAACGAGGTTGACTTGTTCTGGTTGTGAAAACAAAAAATGGCGAACATTTCACTCGTTTCCAGAGTAAGAACTAGGCGAAATTATAGCTCAAAACATGACAAGAACATGACTCAAAGGGAGACATCTGCTATTTGGAGAATATTTTCGGAGCTGAACAACCCTAAACGCGCACTATCGAAGGTGAACTTAACATCGATGGAGCTAAGCACGTTTTAGCTTTGTTTTTAAAAAAGGAATTATTTTCAATCTCCTCGATCTCCATAATTCTTCATAAGATACTCAGCCTCATTCATTAATTGTTAAATATACAACGGCTTTTCCGTATTCTGATTGGCTGTATTTTCTATGGCATGGTATAAAATCGGAAAACACTGATAAGTAGCAATTACAGGATAGTAGAAAAGGCTAAAATAGGGTGCATCAGCCACGAGACACAAAAACTCGTAAAAGCAATATTGACACGCTACATGACAAATTGTGGCTAGAAAAAATTAATATGGTTAGCGTTAATAAATGCCATGTTTTTTGCCTAATTACTAAATTTTTTTGGCTGTTTTAAGGCTAACGGTTATTGCCACTGAAACCATCTTACGTGGCCAGCAACTATACAAATTTATTGAAGCAACAGAAAGTATTTGCATATCCAGGAAAAGGATCACAGACTCCCAGAGGATTGGGTTGAGAAATTTATTTTATTATTAATTTAAGTAGCGGCACAAAAATACTGGTTTTTTATTAATCATTGAAATTTAGGATTCTACTTGATTTTAAATTTTGCATAATTTTAATGTTAGAATGGACATTTCAACAAAAGTAAGCAAGAAAAAAATTTGTACCTTTCAACCAATGAAGCTCTCATAGTGGTTGCTACTGCAGAAGGTTGAGCGTCTCCTAATTTGAACACACTTTCTATAACAGACAGTTCAGTACTGGTCGTGTCAAGCCCACAAAATGCACTCCAGTCATTAACAACCATACCCGCTCCCACTAGATCACTACCTCTGTTGACAGTTCCAGCCTGTAAAACAATGCTACAATATTATTGTTTAATATTACTGACAATTTTTAGGAGGTGCAAGCAAATCTGTGAAACTGAGGTCAAAAAGAAAAGCTGAGTCATATTTTTAGGCTAAAAACAGACGTTCTTGCTATTTCCATGCTTTCACAGGTTATTTCTCATCAATGAACAAAGCACCCTATGTCAGGGAATCCAAGACAGTCTTGGCTTCTGAATTCCACATGATGGATTCTGAAAATACAGGTACTGAATTCTGGATTCTTTGCATACGTGGGACTTGGATTCCAGATTCCAATCGTTCATGGGATTGTGGATCCAGATTCCACAGCCCAGGATTTCGGATTCCACCAGCAAAAATCTCTGGGAATCCAGATTTTCTTACATGGGGCAAAACAAGTGGAGGTTGACCGATCAGATGTACATACCATAAGAGGAACTTGTAACAGTGATGACAACTCATCTTGATCTTCAACTGATGTTCGAGGATGCACCTGCAAAAGATAAAAATGATAACTTATTTTAAATTAACAATGCCTGTTTCTTTACAAACCGATGTACAGATTACAACCGGGCTGTCATAAAGAAGCGGGGACCGGGGATTTCCCCAGGCTACTATGAACATGGCTCCCCGCTACTTTCATAGGTAATAGAAGAAAAATAGTATTTCCACAGGAATTTGAAATCTTTGAGACAACCCTGTTATAACACTCTTACATGCAAACACATAGGACACTTGAGAGGCTAGATCACAAGGGAGGGGTGGAGATGCTCACTGACTGATGCAGTTGGGGAAATCCCGTTTTGGTATAGCCTCCCATTTAGGCATTTTTCCTCCACCCCCATGAGGAAACACGACTCCCCTAAAAACGCCTTTGTGGGAAGCTAATTTTGGTATCACTTAGGGTGAACCTTTGTTAGTGTTGTACGTGGAAAAATATAAAAGAATGCTCTTATATGTTCACAGTACATGACAAATTGCACCAGTGCTCTATAGGAATAACACAATGTGGTATCTAGCATAGAACAGATAAAACTACATCTAGATGGTCTCACTTAGGAGTTTACGATGTACTCTAAATTTACTGACTGAGCGAGAGGCATCCCCACTCTGTTCTACTCTCACTGGTTTCTCAACAGGAGCCTGTTTCTAAAAAGTCTTGGAAACATTTCTGGCCCAAAATCAAATGTTCAAATCAAATAATCTCAAGAATCAAAGCATGGGACTCCTAGCTAACAAACCAGTCCATTTTGTTTTTTTTTTTAACTGATGGTTTTATCATATTATCTAACGTACACCAAAAAATGGGATCCTGGTCCAAAAATGGATAAAATGATTAGCAAGTTTTTTTCTCATTTCAGTAGCAGAAATGTCTATGACATTTAAAATACCGGTAATACTCAAAACAAGCACCACTCCTTTTGTCTCAGATTCCAAAACAAAGGAAAATAGAAGATAAACTAAACTGAAAACCATTAAATCAAAACAAAAAAAATATATAAATGAAGGTTAACACATATAAATATACATGTTTATCAACTACTGAGACTTACAAGGCCTCCTTGATTGCTTAGAGCACAGTAGCTCCCTACTAAAACATTCTTCGCAACTGTCTGTCGAAACACCTCCACTTTAAGTACGTCTGCCAATATCTCTTCTGTTTCCTGATAGGAAGAGTAATATCAACTTTAAGAGAACTCTTTTTTTATATTAAAACAGCAGTACATTATTTCTAGAGCAGTGTGCTGCCGGCAAGATATCACCATTTTACAATAAACACCCGTTACTTCATTTGAAACTGGAGCTTAATCAGGCATGCTGTTGACTAAGCGAGGTTTAAATTCACTGTCTCCATTGTTTTCTTTGCCATATTTGTATCTAAAATTGTCATACCACAACTGACTGTTGCATGGGATTACATGCACATGTATTTAATGTTTAGTTTTAGGCCTGAAATTTACATTGCATTTTGGGCCATTAAGATTACTACGGAATATGCTTTTTAAAATGTGTATACAGTCAGGCCTCTTCACAGTAGCTGCCTTGAATAAAAAGTAAAAAGGTTGTTGAAGAGAGTTGTCCACTGTGATGACATGCATTTCATGGCTTTGCGAAGGGTGGAAAACATTTTGGTTTTGAGATTTCTTCATATTAAAAAGACAGTGAATTTATGGCAGTTAAAACAGATACCAAGTTCTAAACTACAATCATGGACAAAAGTCCTTGGGACAGTAATGCAATATGCATATTTTTGTGTCGCTCTGGGTTCTCTCATAAAACAATGCATCTTTTTCAAAATTTTCCACAGTTCTCCCTACCCCACCCTATACAAATTGAAACTCGGAAAAAATTCTGGATACACCCGTCACACATTGTTTGTGGGGTGAGGGGAGGGGTCGGGTCTGTGAGAATTGGAAAACACCCCAGAAATGCAAAAGTGTCCCAAGACATTTGTCCATGATTGTAGGTACATGAAAGGGGTACCATTTATCAATAGAAGGTGTACGAAAGAAAGGGCTATAGATAAGTTTAATCAACAACAAAAATAATTGTTAACTTTAAAATATGTCGCCCAAAACGTTTCTTGAATTTTGACCATTCAAAAACTCCTTTTTCCTATAAAGAAATGCCCCAAAGACTGAGAACGAGTAAAGGATGAAAGAAAAGCCAATTTGGGTCATTGCTTTGTGTTCTGTGGAATTAAGCAGTGTACCAAAGTACATATGAATGTATGTTCAGGAGGCAGCATGGCTGAGTGGTTAGCATGTCAGACTTGTAATCTGGTGGTCCCAGGTTCGAGTCTGGCTCTGGCCACTTGCTGGATTTGTTCTTGGTTGGACATCCTGAGTTCAAATCCTCAGCCACGCCTTTAAATAGCCAACTGGTTGCCTCCTGCCAGTTGGGATTTTTAATCCTGTTATGTTCTATTGGCATTATTTGTTTCAGAATAATTTCAGTGGAGTGCCTGTAAACTAGCTGGATATGCTAATTATAAGCACACTCTCCACTAAAAACAACCCTTTACCTGACTGTAACAGAGGTAAAGCAGAGTAAATAAAGATTCTGAAGATGATTGGGGAGTTTAAGGCAAAGAAAATCTTTCATATTTGCCGCCATCTTCTTAATTGTTCTACATTCTTACAAATAATTCTACGTCATACTTGTCAATTTGGCCAAGCAAAAGAGCAGACATTTTTAAGACAAATTTTCATGTTTCAAAGACAAAAAAAATAGGTCTTGCCAGATTATTGAGGAGTTTAAATTCTGAATATAATTTTACACATATTGTAGAACTAAAATATGACCGAAGAAAAATTTGTGTCACATACACTTTAAAGGTTAGGGGTTGGACCCTGGGAAGATCCTCCCTTATAAAATGTTGTTGAGTAGTCCCCCAGGTATGATGAACAAACTGTGGATTTTTTGGAACTGAAAAACAAATCTTCAGAACAAAACTGATCACAAAACAAAGCAAGTTGTTACGCTTAATTTTTTGCTCTAAGACATTGGTACAGAAAATGATACTCAATATGGATGAAATGAAACTCTAAAAATATTATTGGTTTTTGCATCAAACACATCGCACAAAGAACATGGATTTATTGTGGTGACTTCCACCTTGTCTCTCATATTGTAAAAATATTCATCAACAGTTAACTAGAAATTTTTTTTAAATTCCCATTGACTTACTCTGTCAAGGTCTGGATGTGTTAGGGCCACATAATCATTACATGCTATTACATTCCCCAGTGCAGACAACCTTTCTTCCACTCTCTGTAATTTCACAGCATCAGGCAATGAATTTCGAATGTGTTGCAGTTCCTATAAAATTGGGAGACACATAAAAAAGGAATAAAGATATTTTAATAATCAATGTAAGTGAATCAATCAAATTTGCTGTAACTCCCCATCCAAAAAGAACACATAAATAAATAGCATGTTATTGTTAACAATAATATCATACACATGTATCTCTCAGAATGAAAACTATTTGGTGCAATACTTGATAGCTACTGAACTTTTTATTAAACCCATCAACAATAGACGCGGGCATGGGAATAGTGCTCGAAGAAGGTAGAGCCACAAGACAAAAAAGAGCCGAACACGTAGGGTATCCATGACAACCCTGTGAGCAGCAACCACCATGCACGGTCACACTGAAAATCAGTGGAAACTAAAATACTTACCACATACTTAACATGCCAACAGGGATGGGCAGAGAAGGGGTAAAATCATTGAGAGGTGCCCAGTACCGAAAAAGAAGCAAATGCAGAATGACTGACATCTTAAGCCAAGGTGTAAACACGTGAGCACCTGTAAACAACCACCAGCCACCCCACATACCAACCCTTGGGGGAAAACTGCTGACCAGTTTTGTTTTGTGTTTAAATTAGCCTAAATTAGATTTAGCCACATTAAAAGGGAAATTTCGCTAAGGAGGATAATTGTTTGTTTTTGTGCTCACAGTCTACTTTGGGTTGTGAATGGACCCAACAGTTTGAGTCATATCTTGACAATCACTTTATACGTTTTAATTTTTTTTCTTGTTATGGCAATGCACTTAATCAAAATTCAAATGAATGAATCTTTGCTTCTCATGGAAATGCACTGCAGTGCCCAAGTCAGATCACTAAGGGCCGTACAGAAAACTAGGCACTAACCAAAAATTCTTATCAAACATAACATGGTCAAAAACTGTAACTGATTAAAGACAAACTAGTTGCTGGCTAAGAAAAGCATGACCAAGGGGGTTGAACTTAGGATGACCAGATAA